TCACCATCGCGAAGACAACACAACATCAGAGCACTTTTGATGCTCATCCCTTTAAAACCTCCGAGGGAATATTCTCATCTATAAATCTGATTGAGGATAATTACCAAGCACAAAATTATAGCTCAGAGTCAAGATCACAGATTTCTGTTACAACTTTACCAGCATCAGGTGAGCAAACTATCACGTCGATTGAATCAAAATTAACAGACAACTCCAGATCAGATACAGCTACTCTGAATTCTGATTTTGGTATTCTACCATCAGTTTCTAATTTTCATTCTTCTGATATGTATTTAAACAGGGTAGCAACTCCTGCTCTAAAAACTTCAGCCAATCATATCACCATTGCAAAGGCAATACAACATCAAAGCACTTTTGATGCGAATTCCTTTGAACCCTCTGGGGGAATATTATCATCTAAAACTCTAAGTGAGGAAAATTTCCAAGAAAAAAAAGACAGCTTATGGTCAAGATCACAAATTTCTGTTGCAACTGCAGTACAGAACAATGAAATATCGTATAAACGTATACCCACCCCAAGAGTAGCACAGATTAACGCAGAAAATTGGACGGCCGTTCCACCAACTGTCAGTGATTTCCGTGTCATCATTGACTCGAACTCAGAAAGTGAATTGATAAGTCTCAATCCATCCACATTGCAAAATATCAACAACATTGATAGCAGTACAGAATCCTCAGAAATTACAAAATCATTTAATATCGTTACGACTCCTTCATTAGATAGTCTATCTGCAGTGATGCCAGGTTTACAACCTTCTTATTCACAAGAAACTAATGAAGTAGCAACAGGTTATGATTTGCCTAAGGATTCACAGATTGAATCAGATATATCAAGTCGAATACTGATACTTCAAAACACAGTCTACAGTGTGGCTGATTCATATATCCGTACATTTACAACAAAATCTGCACCGTCTGATCATCTGTCTACATATACGACACCAGAGAATACAATTATGCTTTCTACGAGGAACCCTACATCCAGTTATACACATACCACAGCAGAGTATTCAATGTTGCTTTCCACGGAGTATACTACATCCAACAAACTTCTGACAACAGAAAGTGTATTACTTGGTACTGAACAGACAACATCTGGAACTGCATCGAGTGTATATAGCACCGACAAAGCATTGTTTAGCTCTGACTACCAAGGTACAGGTAGTTCCATTATGCTATCTGCAACGTTCGCATCACAATCACAAATTCATGCTACCAGTCAATACTCTACAAATCACTTCCCAAAGTACAATCCTGATGATGTCGAAACAACAACAATTAAGCAATTGGCTACAGAAGAAACTACGGACATGAAAGATATAGTTGTTAAAACTAATGGCAAAGAGATAAAAATAGAAATAAATATAAATAACAACATTGTCAATGAAGACAGGAAATCGACATCAACAACAACGACAACTCAAAAACCTCCAGATATGCCCTTGGAATTATTGGTCGTCTGTGCATACATGTGTCAGCAAAGAGGGTAAGTTTTACTTTAATTTACATTAAGCCATATACAAGCTATTTTATATAATACATTTATTGTAAATATCTCTTTTCTTTTCAAACAGCACAAACTAATTATACCGCTTCCTCCGATGTAACACTTTCATAGATGTGTCTCAGTCTGAGAGTGTAAGTTGGATGGGTATTACTGAAATTAATATATAAGTATAAAAAAGCTGAAAAGTAATATCGAAAGTGAGACAAATATTTTTTTATAATTTTAAGAGACAAGTCGCCCATTTACAAGACACCAACAATAACATATTACATACTGTAAACGTATATATTGAAGCGGTATTATAACGTAAGCGCTTTTTGCGCTTTAAACATTGCGCTGATTTATGATTGTGGGTTTTTTCTACGCCGACTCCCCTTGGTTCGGCTTAGGGGTTCAAACTTATTTATCGTCTGGGGAATTGAGAGGTTTGAACCTTACATATACGGTAGATAATTCATCTTAGAAACAGATCACCAGCCACTCACGTATCTGCATCGTTCAAAGACAGCAAACGCTCGACTCATGCGATGGGCTTTGCTACTTCAACACAATCCCACTTAAAAATGGATGCCATAGTAAATATCTGAATATGAAAACCAGATGTGTCGGTAATAAAACTGGAAAGCGGGATTTGTCCCACATTCGACCAGTAATGATAGGTAAATGTGAGAAAATTTGAAACCTATAAATGGAATATCGTATTTTTATTTAATCGAATTTACGAAGATAATTTGGTATCTTTTATATACATTTTCCTTCAAAATTAAGAAATAAATAAATATAGAAAATAAAAATAAATTGAGTTGACACAATGAAACTCTAGCAACTACTAAGCTGGACGTCTGTTTTGAACATTTGTTCCCTAAATGGAATAAGAAAATATTGGTATTAGTTCACGCAGGCAATCAATACTTTTACCAAGGACTGGTCCGAAAAAAAGCTGTCTACATAAGTGTTTTAAACTGTGTTCAACGCCAGGCATTAATTTCTCCTGCCCCGGTGCCGAAAGACCATGATTCAAACGCTGTCAAGAGCTATAGTCCGTACAGCCACTTTGGCCTGGTGTTATTTATATATTTACAGATGTACTATATTTATAAATAATGTTAAAAAAGATGAACAATAAATTGGTTAGAATATTTCTTTTTTAAATTGGAGGGTTTAAAATCAGTGTATAATTATATAGTGATCCAAAATTGTTATACACTATAACTATTGTAACATGTAATATCATAATAGGTGACATTACAATAGTTGAATGCCTACATACTTCATAACAGAAACGCGTGATTATAATAATGCATATTACAGTGAATAACCTTGTGCTCGTTTAAGATTTTGTTGATAGGTACATGCATAGAAAGTGTCATTTTATCATGCTAAGCAAGATCGGTCAGGTGTCTATTTATGCTCAGCTGCAAAGTAGTATCCATATAGATATAAACATTTCATTATGTCATAGAAAAATAATACTTTCTAAAATATGACCGCGCCTCCTTATCACAGATTGTGATACTGACGTTTTTTCATTATGAGATGATCGTAACACACAAACAGGTAATTGCATCTTAAAATTTGGTATTAAATACTGTATACTTAACACGAATGTAACCGAACCGTCAAGCTGTTATATAAAGGGAGATAACCCCGTTAACAATTATTGTAGCTGTCAGAGTTCATTCATTCTACTGGCAATGAAATGGCCTATTCACTTCAAAGTTTTCCATAGTATTTAACTCGCATTCACACTCAGTATCATTGCCAACTAGAAATTATAAATCAAATAAAGTGAGATAGCTCTTCATTAATTATTTGTCATTTCGGCCTAGCCTTTTGTTTTTATTTAAGGCATTAATATTGTTTACTAACCATCTGGAAGCAGTTCAGTGCATTTTTAACCGTTTTTAAACATATTATCTTCATAGAATATTAAATAAAATCATAAAAATAGCAATAAGATCGAATCAGTGTTGTATCGTGTCTTCTTGTTTAATTGATAGAACCGATATTGTTCTAGGACAGATGTTTACAATTGTGGCGTCATAATAATGATGATGCAGCATTTTTACTTTTAGTCTTAACAGCTTATATGAATGTAATCTAACGTGAAGTATGTACGAGTTAGGGCAATCAAATCGACATCGTTTCTCTACCCTATAAGCGAGTACAACCACTAGATATACATACGCTTATGGCGTAGCCGGATCGATGTTAATTTGATTGACTAGACTCGTTAACAACTAACATTTTTGTGTTAAGATTTTCAAGAGGCGATTTTAATAGTTATCGAAACGGTAACATTAACAATTTTACAGATTAAGCTATATGAACTCTATATACTACGCTAAACAACCAATTACCATTTATTCAAAATTTCTTCCCGATAATAAAATTAATCTTAAATTACCTCATAACACCGTTGGCCTTACGGAATCTGAATAATTCATACACTTAAATTGGCCTTGGGGCTTGAACCAATGCATTCAATATTGACTCTTAATTACCAACCTATTCTGCATTGACTTTAAAACACTCATACATAATAAAAAGTTCTTCCATTTGACCACTGCATTTCGAATTCTTTTAATTTTAAAACCTTTGCATCATTTGCAATGTTAAATGCTTATGTTTCAGATCCCCGATCCCCCCCTTTTGTGGCTGTACCTTACAGGCTTGGTTGCGGTGATACGTCATCAAACATCCCAGGACAACGCCTGTTGCGGTGATACGTCATCAAACATCCCAGGACAACGCCTGCTTTTCGCATTTCAGACATATTTTTATTCAAATAAATAAACTTTATAGATAGACATAAATAGACCTTATATAAGGGCAATTTAACAGGTTTTCCTTTTAGAAAAAATGACATTCAAACATATTTTTATTCAAATAAATAAACTTTATAGATAGACATAAATAGACCTTATATAAGGGCAATTTAACAGGTTTTCCTTTTAGAAAAAATGACAATCAAAAATTGTTATTTGAACGAAATCAAAGACATCTCTGTATTTATTTAAAATATATCATTGCGTTACATTTTAATTCCTTTCCAATAAATATGACCAGGAACAGAATGTTCCAGGATGTCCTCATGTGTTATTTGTTACTGTCTGTAATCATTATATTATTGTAACATTTATTTAAAGGTTAGAATACTTTAATTAGGCATCGTAATTAAGATTCACGGAATAATTTAATTCGTGAACAGGTACTTCATAACTCAAAATGTTATTTTTTTTGGGCATGTTATCGATTTTAAGTTTCAATAGGCTTTATTGACATATTAAATAAAGAATGTATAAATTCGTTTGATCAAATATTGTTTTCAAATTTTAGATATTTACTCTTGCTATCCAGTTTTCTTCACAACGTTTATCCATGTTTTTTTAACTTAAAAAACCCCTTAATTTTCTAGTTATGAAGCAATGAAATAAGAACATAACTATAGATAAATGTTAAACAATAACGGTTTATTAATAATCATAAACAGTGGAGAAATGGATTCTGACGGAAATCCTGGTGAAGAAGAATAATAAATTAAACGCAAATGAAGCAAATCTCGCAGATTGGTTTTAACTGAAAGCATTATACCAAAGTATGAAATACAATCAACTTAAAATAGTAAACAACACTTAGGTTTGCTCAGTACCAAACGAATAATTTGTCTTTGCCTATCGTGGCAAGTCGTGATGTTATAATCCAGCTGACAAAGTATTGTCACGTCATACTAGGTGATGTTATTTATCATTGTGAATATATATTTATTAGAAAACGTGCAAGACGAAATTAAAGCACGCAGCAGTTATGGGATTAATAACAAAATCAAACATTACAAGCAATATTTATTTACAACCAATGTGGTCTTTACAATACCGCAATTGCATGAACTGACCTGAATCGGAATTGACATCGAATTAAACATAAGAAGCTATAGGTGAATCCGACTCATGCACATATCATTTCAAAAGAAGTAATGATACTAATACACGTAAAATACAATATTTTATTAAAGACATTTTGTTCTATTTGATTTGATCTTTTTAATAAATTTAAATTATAAAAACAAAAAGCACACAAACCAGTTTAGTTATTCGTAAAACGATCTCGAATGTAGACGTTTTGAGTTGTAAAGAGCTCACAAAACCATCACCTCAAATTCAAGTGTTAAAATAATTACTCAGACCTAGGAAGTTTTAGTTTCAAATATTTATAAACACAAAACGCAGCAATAGCTTAGGGATCAAAACCATTAAGGACAAAACGTATAATTATGTAAGCTGGATATCGATTCAAAACGGGCCTTGAATTTAGAAACTGAAAAATCGCTCTTGTTTAGCATAAAAAGATGGACGGATCATCGGGTATTTATTGTTGTAAATTAAGACAATGGGCAATCTAACTAAGCATAAGTCGTACAGCATAACGTTCCTCATTAAGGATACTTTCCCCACCTGACACTCTTGTAACAGAGTCCATCAACCGTTATTTCTGATTTGTTCCTTGAAGACAAACAGAATCGTCATGATAATGTCTACAAACAGTGTAACAGCTATAGGTAACACACTTTCATCATTAGGCGAGTAAATTAGTGACCCATGGAAACAAAGCACTACACACAATAAATAAAATATAGTAAAACATAACAGGTAATTATAAATAACAACATTCACAACAATAACACAAGTAACCTGACATTTGTAATTAACTGAAGTAAATCACAATCTTAAACATTAGTTATATATTTACATGTATATCGCCAAGGAACATTTACTTCTTGTTTGAAATAATGTATTTTTAATAAGATTTTAAACACAAATGAAACCTTTAAAAAGCATACTTTATTTCAGGTACTACTTACATTATTTTATCTTAACTTGTTAAATTATTCAACTGAATAAAAATGTGGGCTTTTTGCCTTTTTTGTGTAAATATTGATAAAAGGATGGAATGAAACTTTCATATGTAATAGAGACAGATAAAGAATTTCTCAGAAAGGGATAATAAATAATAGTACCAACTTCGTGTTTGCCTCATAAATGAATCTGCAATGGAGAATTTTCCTATTATTACGTATGACAAGGTATTTACTTCTTCTCTGGGAGCACCTTGGTTTACTTATCACCAATCTTCATACGGCTATTAGTAGATGCCCTATGCTAAATTTTGTAAGTAGGGCAATCGTATAAGAGCGCAAATGAAATACATTGAAATGTGTTATAAAGCTTTAAAAAAAGTAAAGTATTTCCTTTATTTTGTATCCTTTATTTTTGTATTCATGCACATTATGATCGACCAATGTAAGATCACAATAATCTTACTTGTGCAATGTTTATTTTACCTAACCGGGTATGATAGTAACATTCATAAGGGGGTCTCTCATCCATCTTTGAACCTTACAAATTACGTGTTAACCAAGTATTGTTTGCAGATAAAATACACACAGGCATAGCTGATGAATACATAAAAATAACGTAATAAAAAATCTCCTTAATCCGCAAACATTTAGCAAGCATTGGTGAGACGGCTATGAATAACAAAATGCACTATTGTTCACACAAAGTATCAAGCTATTATTATATATAAGGTAACGAGCTTCAAGAAGAAGGTGATATTTACTTGTGACATCATATTTTGGAAGAAACTTGAATAGAAATAAGAAACACACCCTGCCTTTATCAAAAGCATTATAAGGCATGGTCATATACATAATGTATTAGTACATATAGCATAGGTATATACTAAATGATAACATTAACATTGAACGTATGTGATAACAAAACACTAACTTTCAGCTGTGGTCTATATATCATATCACAGGTGCTTGATAAAAGAAGGCTAAATGTATTTGTATAAGTATTTTAACATTTAAGGAACAACTTAGATAATAATTTGCGATTTTGAGTTCGATAATTATTACCAATTAACAAGAATACAGCAAAAAAAACACATATTAATGATATTTTCTGTAGCATATATCGAAACATATTATATTGCTGACATCAATGATAAGCGAGACATTGGTAGTTACAATCATACGCGAGAGCACGACGATAAATTAAAAGCACAGTCAATGTGTATGTACCATATCACAGATAAATGATGAGACAATCAGTACGTTTTCTTATGTAAACGTGATCTGATTTGTTGATAATTAAGATTTCGGAAAACGTACAATTATTTCGCAATCAGATTCTATATTTGAGAGTTCTGTATATGAGTCTGATTTATGCCGGGGACACTTGTGTGTAAAACTTTAATTTGATCAGATAGGCCCCGGCAGCTACGAACGCTACTCCCACGATTCCGGCGCCCACGCCGATTCCTGCCACAGCTATCGCCGATACCCCCTCATCACCACCGCTGCTAGTGCTTTGCGCCGCCTGCAACGGAGATACAGATGCTTTATTATTAAATATGTATATGAAATAGCGTCGATTATTATTGCAGAATTTAAAGGAGGAGAAAAAAAAACCGGAAAAAAATAATTCACATGGACATGACTATACTATTTTTTTCAACATTTTTAAATATCAAAACTTCCTTTGTCATAGAAGTATAACAGGAGATATGTATCTCGAAATATTGCAAAACTTTAACCTTCAATCATATATTATCGTGAGCATTGAAACATATACATCACAATGATGCTCTCATGATTATTTAAGCAAATAAAGTATATGTATATATAGCATAATGATTATTTAAATATATAATATATTGTAAGAAAAAACCCATTAGCATAATAAGTAAACTTCGTGTTTGATTGATTGCAATTGCACTATACGACGCTTCGCAATTATAAATGTTTTCAAGTAACTTGAAAATTTGAAAATGTTGTCTCCTTTAATGAGCTTTAAAAATAAAAATAAAGATGCGGTTTTGTTGATTTACGATTTATGCGTTATTACTATTATTCAAATAAACAAGTTCGTTCAAACTTTATGTGTATACCACCAGTACATCATGCTTAAAAGTAAAAACTAAATACTGGATTCGCACTGAACGTACGACAGATGAATATATTGAAACTGCTTAGATAAACGCAATGAAGCATTGCTATTTTTTATTATTTGGTTGATTCATTTGACACAATTTGTATTAATTTTAGTGTTTCCAAATAAAACAGTTTCATTAAATTCTGCATTTCATAATGCAATATGTATACCTTTAACTGTGACCAGAGTGGTGACAGTAGCTTAAGTATATATGAAAATGAGGTGGTAGAATTGTGGATCTAAACGGTGTTGTTGTAAGTTGGTGTAGCAATGGATAAAGTTAAGAATGTTAATAAGGCAAATTATACATGTAGGAAAGGAAAGGAATCGAAATAAATATTCTACGCTCACTGCGACCTTTTGGATCGTTCTATTCTCTTTACTTTGGCTACCTCATTTTCCTAATGACCTACTTTGCAATACATCGCTTTTGGTCTTGATTTTCAGCGTTTGCCAGGGCGAGGAATGTTATAGATTCTATCCTCTCACCAAATCCATAAATTCATACATGTTTTACTGCTATTTGTTTCACGTTCAGCTTAAAATGCGGGGCGTTAAGGAATGCTTAGCCCTAACATCATAATATTATCTGTGGTGGCGGGTGTTGTGGTGGGGCTATCAGTCGAGATGGAGCGTAATATGAGATGAGTATAACTTATGAGTTCACGCCATACTTACGTTCTGATTGTTGGCTGAAGTGGTGATAGACGTAGCGGCGGAGTTTGCGTTTGACGAAGCAGTTGCGTTAGCGCTCGACACATTGGCTGACGTGGTCGTAGCGGCGGTGTTGCTTGACGAAGTTACTAGAGTGGTGTTGCTTGCCGAAGTGACTAGAGCGGTGTTGCTGCTTGAAGTGGCGGTGTTGTTGGATGTTGTACTTGTGGTAGACGCTGGAGTCGTGATCACACAGCCAGTGTAGTTCTTGTTCACTGGTAGGATACACAGCGCCGGTAGTCCAGCCTCGTCAGTAACACTGACGTACACCTCCTGGCGACAGCAGTCCACGCTGATATACAAATTAAGTCATTACAATATTCATACGATTACCCGTAATATGACTTTGTCTTATTTTGTCATATATTAAACTATTTAAAACATAGAGAACATTATTGGAAGCTTGCATCTTGCAAAATGTTTTAGAAAGTTTTTTTTTTATGTTCACGAGATAATCCTCAATTGGAATCAAATCTAATAGTTCGTGTTAAGCAGGGTCTAGCCACGTGCGTTTACAGTAATAATGATACAATTAAATTAACTGACCTGATTGTGCCGTTGACGATGTTGTTACTTTTAGTGTCGCCCTTGGTAAACCCTGTGTGTGTGAAGGTTCCAGTGCCGAGCCCCACGGCATGGATAGTTGATAGACCGTCCCCTACGTCATACAACTGTACATCTGACGTCACCGTAGACTGGTGACAAGTGCAGTCGTCCGTTCCACATTGTCCTTGTCCTTGGATGTTCAGCAGGGTACAATTCGGTGGAGTGGTGTCGATATGTTTCTATAATATACACGGAGAATATAGTTGTTATACTCATTAAACTTTTTCTGATAATACTTACTTCTGTTAGCATAAGCACACTTTATAAAACGAATAAGCTCGTTCATTATTTTGCTAGGTTCGGTAAACTGAACTAAGTATCAATTTGTTCAGCTAAAGTACACTGAATTTTCATATTTTTTGCTGATTTTTTGGCTGATTTTTTTCCCATGAATGACAAAACAATTGAGTTTAAACAATCAATAGTAAAATACTCATTAAATCATATACTTCCAGAGAAAACCAGGTCTAATGAAAGTTTCCCTTTTGAGAGATTGCATCAAGTTGTTGACCGAATTTCGAATTCGTTTTTTTATTATGAAAATATTCTGAACTCGGTCCTGATGGCCTCAATATGTTTGAAATAAAAGGACGACCTATAGCAGGTAAGTGTCTTATGCTTTCTTACTTCTTTATGTTTTGTATTAAAATATAATTTAATCTTGCTTGTAACAAGCATTTCCATTGGCTTAAAAATGTATGTTATCATCCCATAACGTAAAAAAATGACGTCGCCATTTGTAACGTCGCTTTTGATTGAAAAAAAGTCCATCAATAAAAGTGGATTTCCACTGGGATTGTGTATAGTAGATTGAATTATAAGGATTAACTTGAATATATTTTTCATGTTCTGGAGCTATAACACAAAAAACCGGAGTGTACTTTCATCATAAACCACTTCGCGGTTTATTTAGAGTACACTTCAATTTTTTGTGTTATATCTCCATAACATAAAAAATATATTCAAGTTAATCCTTAAATAACCCTAACAAACCTGCTTTATGAGGTATCAACACTAAACCCAATGAACCCAGTATCAAATGTTTTATGTTATAGCTACAATAAACCTGTCGTGTAACATCTGTGTATGCAACTTAATAAACCTTTTGTGAAAGGTATTAAAACATAGTTACAAAAGAGCTGCTGTGTGATGTTTATGTAACATAAAGAATCAAGTCGCAATAATTAGCAGTTCAGATAACATACTCTGCAGCCCTTGTAACCAGGGTTGATATCAACCACACACTGTCCAGGCAGACTTGCCATGTCCATCACATTAATAAACACCGTCGTCCGGCAACAATCCACGCTGAAAGGACAAAAATAATCTACAAATAATATCACCATACTTGTGTCTCTGTTGTAGTTGAGGAATTGAACAATATAGTATGTAAAATAGTTTTGGATTAAAAATAATTTAATAACTTAATTGTTTTTTAATTTTTATCTTAACGTTATATTGTTATAAACCGTGGTCGAGTCGCCATCTATAAATCAAATAATGTTAACGATTTGCTATTCTTTAAGTATATAAATATTTGTTTTCATACTTTCATTTTTATACGGCATTGGTTTTCAATGTTAATACTCGCTGACTTCAGAAGAAAAAAAAATCAATATGTATCCTTACAGAATTTTTAACATACAGACACTAAATGTGAATTGATAAAACAGTATTCCCAAAACTGACACGAGTTGTCTCCTTTGGTCCTATATTGATAAGTATTTCATGAATATTTTACCTATATGGTCTGCTGTTGTGTCATGTGGCCAGATATATTCAAAGCTTATACAAGTGCAAATACTGTTTTCACCATTAGGTTCTCGATTGAATTACCACACGTATTAAATTTTGATTACAATTTAACTTTATTACCTGGCATCTTACAGGGGAAATTCCTTCATAACCATTGAACTACCTGTCTGATAACAGTTGATGTCTTAACACAAAAATAGATTTCTAATCGCAAAGGGTTGTGTAGATGTTGACAAAAACGATTCTGATATTATTGAAAGCGAGATCCACATTTCTTAGGAGTGGTACCATACGTACCTTAGAGTGGCGTTAACTGTGTTGTTGGCCTTGACGTCACCTTTGGCGAATGGGGTGTGTATAAAGCTGCCGTTCCCGATACCCAAGGCATCGATGGTCGCTAACCCGTCGCCAATATCCCAAATCTCAAAGTTCATTTTTACGGTTGTCTTGGAGCACGTACAGTCGTTATTGCCACACACACCTTGGATGTTCGTCAAATTGCCACAGTGAGGCGGAGTCGTGTCTATTTTCTGCAACAGAAACGAATTTACCTTGATTCAATCAAGTTTTATTACGACGCACAAAAAGAGATTTGTGATAACTTCTGTTTTACAGGAATGAAGCGCAAAGGTCGAGTCGCGGTATTTGAGCAAAACATTTTTTTTGACAGGGCATGTAACTTATAACCTTTCCACGTCTTATAAAGAAATACACCCCGATGTTCTAGTGAATGGCGACTGCCATATTTTTGCGCCATTAAACCTCATAACATATATCCTTCCAAAAATTTTGACTATTTTCTTTTCCTACCTCGAATTCAACTTCTCCGAAATCTCACGAGACATAAAATGCTAGATTTGTCTATAATTTTCACATTGTCTCGTATCTCTTCTGTAACTTTTGGCATGTGCTTTTTTATTTCATAGGCACAGGGACTGTTCATCCGCTAACTGGTTTTGTTCTTTACAACAGGAACGTTTTGTAAACATTAAATCGCTTGAATGGACTGCTGTATATATTGCATCAAATATGATTTCATTCACGTGGATAATGCAAGTAAGTAGCATAAAGGGACAAAAATATCTCCAAATATATACAGTTTACTATTTATGGTTAGTATGGATGTCATAACACTTATTTCAATTTGTCATTTTTTACTGGTTCGATAGGTTGGTATTCTATTGGATGTTTGTGCTCTGTACATTATTACATCATGTAACACGCTTTGGATACATTAACATTTGATAACGGCCAACTATTATATAAGAAGATCTATTATTGTTGATGATATGAGAAAGAGACGTGCGCAAACTAAATTTCATGAAACGAAATCATCACTCCTTAACTATTGTTCTAAAGACAGGCACTCTAGAAATATTGACAGGAAACTCTCAATAAAAATTAAAATATGAATATCCCAAGAATAAAGGAAATGCCAACTTATTAGATCAGTATTATTCTTCCGATGGGTTCATACGATCGCATTTATGTACTTTTCTCAAAATAATAATGTGAATAAAATTGTACGTGTCAAAAAATACCAAACCGTCTACTGCTGCTTTTACTTTACTTTCAAGAGCAACGGTATTTAGTGTACAACCGATGACGTTTCCTTACCGTTTTATTACATCCTTTGTTCTGATAGGTCGGATTGACGTCTATCTTACACTGGGTAGGTAGACTAGCGTTGTCCACAACATTAATATATACAGTTTTTCGACAGCAATCTATTCTATAATATAAAAACAGTGTCCATATTATTAATGTTATGTAAAGAATTAAGCCATTTACTCAACAATACTAGTTCAAAACATACACTGCTCAAACTTCAGATTCCCTTTCCCTCGTCCATTTTTATATCTCATGCATGTTTTTCTTTCAGTTAGAAATGTTGGTATAGCAAAATAAATAATAGAGACTAATAATTTTGACATGTATAGAGTACCGAGTACGTGACATGTGTTTCAATGCATATGCATATAGCCTTAGCAAATTTAAATACCAAGGGCCACGGATTCTACAGGGAATTATACATGGTATTCTACAGGGAATTCTACAGGATGGAATTCTACAGGGGATTCTACAGGGAATTCTACAGAATGGAATTCTACATGGAATTCCACAGGAGGGAATTCTACAGGGAATTCTACAGGAGGGAATTCTACAGGGGATTCTACACGGAATTCTACAGGAGGGAATTCTACAGGGGATTCTACAGGGAATTCTACAGGGCATTTTTGAGTTTGTCTGCCGTGTGCCAGATATCTCTATATGCCATTTTCTGACAACTTGTTTTCCCAAACGTAGGTGACGTTTTGTCAACCTAGCGAGAGGCCTTTCTTACCTAATTGTTCCGTTGACTGTGTTATTGTCTTTAGTGTCCCCTATCACGAAAGGTGTATGAGTGAAGTTCCCAGAGCCTAGTCCGACTGGGTCTACCTGTGCAAGTCCATCACCTTCGTCCCAAATGGTAAAATCAGCGCTTACAAAAGTCTGGGCACACAAACATTCGTCAGATCCGCACACGCCCTGTATGTTAGGATGGACCTCACAGTGTGGAGGAATCGTGTCAAATTTCTGTAGGAGAACAAAGTACGTTTTCCACTTTCAAGTTGTAAGTAGACATGGTATTCAGTCTTAGTAAAGCTGATCAAAACATACGTTTTTGCTAGGTGAAAAAATAACTTTTAATACTTGTGAAAAGGCTGTTTCAGGAGCAATATCGGTCACTTAAGTATAAATACAGCAATGTTACAACGTGTTCAGATACACATATTGCTACAATTTTCAGTTCTTTTGTGATGAATGTTTTTGTTTTATTTCATATTTCTAACAAAATGAAATATTTTTTGGAAAAACCAAAATACCTGCTCGAGACAGTACGATTAATGTTGTTTTAATTTTTAAACAGCCTTTACTCTGATGACCTTCTGACAATGTCAAAGTAATTCATTTGCATAGCAATCTATAGATGCTCTTAAATGTCAAAACTATTAGACAAAGAAATTATCAAGCGTATAATCCATACACACTGTCATGTATAGCCATTCGCTTAGCTTACCGGCTTTGTTCTCTTTTCCGTTGTCAGCCTCACAATGACAAACTGAAATCCAGCTCCTATTATTCCCATAGGCTGGGCAGTTATGGTAATGGTTCTGTCATAAACACAATACTTATATTCAAATCTTGTTTAAATAACTACATGTTTGTTATCCTGTAAACAGGTTCTTCAATTTACCAGTTACAAATGACTACATTCACTTGATGGTATGTCTCTCTCATGCTTTAATAAAAATATTTTTGTCTATCAAATTGGTTTCTTTGTTTTGAAATTTTTATCAGATTCATTATTAATCAAAATACCCCTCCTCCTAAATATGTCAAGAAAAAACCTCTTGAATTTTTCCTTATTCTTTTCTTAATGTATTGAAACCTGACATTTCATGTCATCGATAAACACATACCCACCAAACGTGCACATAAAACAAATACAATAGGATTGTTTACGTTATTGTGTTGGGTTTACACATCGTTAAAGTGTAACATGTAACAGAATTACTGTGACCTATTTAAATATAAACTGTACGAGACTGAGAGTACATACGTAGTAGTCCCGACTGATACCCGGCCGCTGTCGGCGTACATAGTGAAGTGAGATGTGCTGTTCTCGCCCGACATTAGAGAGATGACCTGTGACGTTGGCCTTATAGCTAGGTTCTGGTCGTCAGATATGGTTATATTGACCATAGACGTCCCGCCACCTACGTTTGTGATGATGAATGGTACCTCCAGTTTCTCGTCTAGGTAAAACGGGCCTACAATTTGCAATAATTAAATTATAATCCCAACGTATGACTTTGCATATGAATAAACACTCATCTCAATCTCAACACATTTGTAGGATATATAGTGGAAGATTGAGAATCCCTCCGCCTTTGTTCCCAAGAAAGACATTATGGGTTGTGGAATTACTGTTTTACTGGGATATTTTTCAAACGAAAAGGGGAAATATTTCAATGGAGAATGGAAAAAACAATAATCGGAGTGGCTTAATGAAGGGAAATTGACTGTATATATTCGAATAACTCATCTTTCTTATATTTTACCAACAGTCTCTTGTTTTGGCAACTTGAGCCAATATGATAATGGTTTACTTTGAATTTCTGTGTTAAATAAAAAAAAATATCCCACTCACTTTGCACAGGAAGGTCCTCCAACTTTATCGCCACTGTGTTGATGAGTGATGTATGTACTCTCCTGAATGGGTTGGCTAGGTCATCTTCTCCGTCCACCGCCACCTGGAAGGCCTACAACACACACTGGCGTTAACTGTATGTATATTGTTATTATGTAGCGTGTTAATAGTGAATGTGTACTTATATCCAAACTATCTGTTGTTATAAAGTCTAGTGAGTAACAACTTTGCTCTGTGTCATTCTTATGTATTGGAATTTTTGCGCTGTATATTTGCTTTGATTTCATTATTTAGATTTAAATCATGTTGTTGTTACGTTTTAAAATGTTATTGATCGTTTTTAAATTTGACAGACTTTGATAGAGAAAATAAAAAATGAGACACATTAATGGAATAATTACCTGATCGGGTATTATGACAGTTGTAGAAAACACCCCGCGGCCCCTTTGGGTACTCTTGGTCTGGAGAGGGTAGAGACTGATCTGATCTCCGTATTTGTCTAAGAACACCAACGTGTCCAGGCTTGTGACGTTTACGAAGTTGTGGATGGTAATACTGATTGTCGTATTGTCCCCTGAAAGAAAATAGACTTAGATATAGGGAAACTGTGGTATACATGTACGTTATTTAATAAGAAGAAGCATATTTAAGTGCATTCTAGAGACACCTCACTCAAATCTTGTATGTTAAAATTTAACGATGATACGAATGGTAAAATTACGCTTGGAGAAATATCGCTATCACTTCACTATTAGAGTGGTATCGTGTGTTACTCTAAGGCGCTTTACAGCACACGGATAATAGTATTCCTACAGTCACAGTTATAACTAAAGTAGATCAAAAGGCAGATTAATACGCATTATACCTTAAATGACAAGACGTGTATCTCAATATGTATATAAATAAATATACATATATAGGGTGGTGTGTACATGACGTCTACGCAAAGAGCCTTAAATACATACGTAAAGAAGTGGGTGTTTATATCCTTCTTAAATTCAGCCAGACGTGTTGACTTCCTGATTCATTGTTTCCGTTCATTGTCCCTGTTCATTGTCTCTGTTCATTGTCTCTGTTCATTGTTTCTGTTCATTGTCTCTGTTCTTTGTTTCTGTTCATTGTCTCTGTTCATTGGTTCTGTTCATTGTCTCTGTTCATTGTCTCTATTCATTGTCTTCATATCTCTGTTCATTGTCTCTGTTCATTGTCTCTGTTCTTACCAAATATCAAATATCTACTGATACTGACCCTCTTTACCGACACATTTTTTGCTAAACAAAAGGTGGCAGTAAAATGACGTATGGAACCGTTAATGTTTCAGCATATAACATCGATATGTCGTTAATGAGCATATAAATCTATCAAAGGTAATTGTCTAAACAAGGTTTCAATTTTACAAATAAAAGAAATTGAATCATATTGGACAACATGAATTTATTTGAAAAAGAAGTAAGAAAGCATAAGACACTTACCTGCTATAGGTCGTCCTTTTATTTCAAACATATTGAGGCCATCGGGACCGAGCTCAAGGAAACTTTGAGCAAAGTCCACTTCACTCTCCGCTGTCACTTCAATGTCCCATCCATACACATCCATTCTACGTACCACCCATATTCCTGGCTGCGGATACTAGTCAAAGAATTCAATTAAATGAACACGTCAGTGAAAATGAAATATATGGTCGTACATTTGTACGACAGCGACGATAAATTAAATGAGTTTATAACTATTTTTGTTTCTATTTAAGGGGCAATCAAAGATAAACGTTAAGGTTTTTACAACAGTTGGAGAATTACAACGGGACTGGTTTAATGTTTTGTAAACATTTGCAAAATACATAATACATAATGTATAATCAAAAATCGCTTTCAATAATCTTATTTATCTTCCACCTACTGTTCTACGGGAAATTTTAGTTCAATCAAACTTTCGCCTTTCACCCATGAAACCAATTTCCCCGTGTGTTCATTTCGACCTTCACATTGAATCACTATGTATATTATGGGTTTAACTAAGAAATCCGGTCATGATAAATTCGCCCTCATTACGGAGGGCGATACAGACGAAAAGTAAATTGCAGCGAAATTTCCCCGGGGTATAGTAAACAGAATCATATTTAATCAGACTTTAAATGTATTGCCATTTCACTTTTGTTTGTTGTGAAACCGGTTAACAAATTCAGCAAAATCAGTATAGAATGATTATTTCAGCTTGTGAGAATTTACCAGTATTTTTAAATTTTATTCAGGTTTCTTAAATCTGGGCTGTAGAAAGGTTCATCCAGCACAACCAGCATAATGTTCCGCCGATTCACTTTTTTTTTTTTTTTT